TTCTCATTTCAATAGTCTTGATCCCTCCTCAGATCTCTCTTATCTCCACTTAATGCAAGGAACAATTCCTTCTTGAGAAAATGTATGAAGATGGCTTTATTGACTGTCCCATTCCCATAGCTTGGCTTGTAAACTCATCAGGTGCAAGATGCAGTAGCTGCAACAAAGCTCTGAACTGTCTAAAAATAAAGGCATTTGTACTGTTTTGATGCTTTTAACTGTAAGAGCCTTTTGCAAATACCAACAATTTAATTCTTGGAACATACCTGATTTCCATATTCTCAATGCACCAATACTAGCAAAATAAAAAAAAACTGATGTGCCTAAATTCACAGAGAACTTCAAAATTCCAGATGGGCCCAATTCCTCAACATAAACTGTCAAATACTGTTGCTTGCAGTATAGTCATAGGCAACATCTACCATGCAATTAAGCCATTAGGACAGTTTAGAATAGTAACAGAGTTCTAGAAGTTTTGATACAATAATTGGTACCACAACGTACTCCTGAAACTTTCCTATCCAGTGTGAGAAAAGTACAAGTACATTATACATGTCTAACATCCAGCACCTGCATACCATATTGCCAATCTCAGTAAGTGTTCTATAGTTCAATATACAGGTGGCATTACAAACAAAGTAATGTATTTTAATTTTACATCAAAGAAATACATTTTTTAAATTACGAATTTTCATTACAATGCAGTCAACCAGCAGTGCATTAACCAGACTAAAGAGGCAGGCACACCACCCCTTTATATAGAATACACTTTTTGATTCATTTGAATAAATGTTTCTGGTAAAAGCACAACAGTACAAAACCTGGAATAGCAAACCAATCGCCCCACTGTACTTTAAATACCCGCTGATATGACACAAATGTAGTCAGGAACCAAACATATGTCAGCTCTTGTAAAGGAAATCTGCCATAAAATCTACAGAGATACTGGAGAGAGTCCAATAAAAGGTCAGTAGTCTAATAAAGGGACTGGAGCATCTCTCCCATAAGGCAAGGCTGAGAGAGCTGGGACCGTTCAGCCTGGAGAAAACTCAGGGGGAATCTTATTAACCTATGCAAATACCTGAAGGGAGGGTGCAAAGAGGACAAGAGCCATGCTCTTTTCAGTGGTACCCAGTGACAGGACCAGAGGCAACGGGTACAAACTGAAACACAGTAAATTCTGCCTGAAGATCAGAAAACACTTTTTTACTGTGAGGATGACTGAGCACTGGCACAGGTTGTCCGGAGCAGTTGTGTTTCCCCCCTTGTGGAGGAGCAAGAACCAGAATGGCAACGGTTTCAGAAATGGAAAATGATATACAGGGAATGAAAGGACTTTATTACATGGACTTTACAGTTATTATGTGTTTACAAATATATATACTGTATGATTTCCCCTGCAGTTGTAACTGCCCAGGCATGTCCAGACGTGCCTCGTGGTGCCTGCTCCCTGCTTCCCCCTATGGTTGGCTGAAGAAGCTGCAGAGAGGAGAGAGCTACCATTCGCCCTTTCCTTCCCCGATTCTTCCCCCGTTCTTCCCTCTTCACCTGAGTCCCTATCCCTATTCATTTCCCTGGTTGTCTGTCTCATGCTCCACCCCATTTTCTGGTGCATTCCACACCAGAACTCATAAAACCCCCCGCACACTTTCAATAAAGTAGCATTGCAACCTCACACCTCGTTGGAGGTCTTCGTGCAGTGCCACGATCCTTCTCCCCTCCCCCTCGGACCGTGGCACCCCCTCTCTGGAGAAATTCAAAAGCTACCTAGACAAAACCCTAAGCAGCCAACTCTAGGAGAGGCTGTTTGAGCAGACCAGATAAC